ACTGGCCGTATTTCCTCCGATTTCGTATGTTGGTCGTGATCATGTCTCCCAGCTATTTTCACTAACAACACAGGCCGCTGTAAGCCATGAGAAGATCTAGATATCTGCTGCTAGATTTAGCGTTAGAATATCATATATCAAAATTTAAACGTTCTGAGTTTGAGGAGCCTTGGCCGAAGATGGCTGCTCCTCGAACGTCAAAGATGTAGGCTAAGACGAAATTCTTAGGTGGTGATGAGGGGTAAAGTCTTTCCAGGCATCACGTTCCAAGAAAATATTGAGTACTCAAGTGAAGACTCGACTAAAAACTTGGTCGGTATAGGTATTCTTTATAAGATTTAGGAGGTTGTGAGTGACGTATGAATTAAAAAATTAACTCCGTCGTTAGTTGGATGGTCGATTGTTTGATAATATAGCTAATGAAATGGTGAAGAGTAAATGGACTATTCCTCATTAACTTGATAACTATAGAATTTTAAATTATAGGAAGCGACTTCTTCCAAGTCGAAATAACTACGCTTAGGTTACTTTTGAACCGCTTATAGCCATCCAATCAATAAAAAGAGGTTGTTGGACTATACTAAAACATTTCACACAGGATGTGGAGCCCAGAAATTCATTTTAACTTTATTCTTCATCCTTAATTTTTTCTTTGCGGTGAGGAAGTGGCCTACTTGACCTTTGTTACCGGTGTGGCTTCTATTGTGCCATTCTCTTGGAATCATTAAGGGAAAAATGTAAGGCCTTTTTGTACCCAGTACTTTTACAGACAGCCATAAGCCTTAACGTTGCCATCGTTGTCTAAGCAATAAATTTCGTTAAACTTGGAGTCTACAATTTTCACAAAATTACTTTCACTCACAAGTCAGCGTCAGATGATTGTGCTGCTCCAGGTTCTGTTGCACCATTTTGTGCAGAATTCTAGACTGAACAAGGCGTTAGGGGCCTTATAATAATATGCTACTTTTCACCAAACGTGTTTAAAGATCTTTGGCATTACTGGATGATCATGTTGTACGGAGTTGGATTGTTGGACGTGGAAACGGCGTGATTAAACACCAAAGGATGACACTGATAGTTGTTTTCGAAGGTCCAACGTTTGAGAAGATTATTATGGTTATCCTCCATGTTATTTCTGCATTTTCGTATAAAGAGCTTGTAGAAGGAGTGGAGAAATCAAGTAAAAGGGAAAATTTTTTGCGGAGTGAAAAGCAATTCACAGACCACCCATTTGCACGTTATGCTCTTGAAGTTACTTTCCAGATGGCACATCGTCCATGTTTTAATCATCAAAGTCAAAAAAAACAGCTGAAATTGGTCTAAGTTTGAGGCATCAGTTCTTATTATCGACCTTGGAATTGAAATTTCAAATCACTACGCAGTGGCAACACATGAATATATGGCTAAAAAATCGGAAGTGTATTTCAACAGATGATAGACCTCTTTTTGTAACACGTCTGCAGGCAAGAACGACCAGGGAAGTGCGGAATTTGCTCGAGTTATCCACCCAAAGAAGAAACCAAGGGGCGCGACCTAGACAGCAGCAGGAATGCGTAA